CGAGAATCACGTGATTGAGTCTGACACCTATCTCTCCCTTGAAAGTTCAGCGACCGAAATGACTACTACCTTATATGGTAATGATTTGGAAGATTGAGTCTGACAAAGCTATTTTACCTATCTTCTAGTAAATTCTGGAAGATCACGTGATCTCCGTATGACGTATACAACATTACTAAAACATTTTACTTGGCTCGGTCTCCATCGGTTACATAATTTAGTTCTTCGCGCAATTATTGATTACGTTACCTAGGTATTTTGCAACAGGTGTTCTATAGTTTAGATCTTAGCGTGATTATTGATTAAATTACCTAGGTATTTTGTATAGTTATAGACTTTAGATTTTGTGTAGGGTTGGGTTTTTAAGGTCTCTCATAGAGGTAATTTATATTTGTTTGAAGGATTGGAGGGTGTGAAAAAAGGATATTTGGGCTCACATCCTCCTTTTCCTTAAAAAAATACATCTGCCACTTGACCAGTTTTTTGTTTAGTTAAAGAATATTTGACTTTGGATTTTGTGTAGGGGTTGGGTTTTTAAAACTTGACTATGCTCTATACGATGATATTGATTAGGTAGCAGATGTTATCAAGTAAGGTATACAAGTTCTAGCTTGGCTGGTTCTATAGATGATATTGATTAGATAACTGATGTTACCAAGTAAGGTATACATGTTATGAACTAGGATCTGTTTTACAATTGTATGTTTATATCATTGGGGGGGTGAGAGTTTAGGACAGAGAAAAGTGGTCATTTTGTATTTGTTTGGAGGTCTGGAGGGTGTGGGATAGGGGTCGTTGATATGAAATCGGCCTTTTGTATTACTACTATACGTCCTCGTCTCTTGCATCAAAAGTTCTAACACCAGTTTTATTAGGTTCGTTAGAATTTTCATCAGATGTTCTATGTATTCGAATTCCGTTGCTGTGTTAAATGTGTCATAAGTTTCTGCAAAATAGAGATAATTGTTCACAAACATTTTTTATTTTATTAGGTACACAAAATTATTGAGGCGCTGTAACTTTAGATATTAAATTTTTTTATAATCTGCTCGCCCTTCGGTGAAGTTTTTTCGTTGTAGTTATCATCGCGAGTTGGGTTTCTTTTGTTGGTGATATATCTGAAACCACTTGTTTGATTGCGGCATGCGCCTTAGGTTCGCCTTTTATTTTATCAGATATTTTTTGCCCCACAGCAGTTCCAGCAGCAGATGCAGCTCCAATTCCAAAAGCTTTATCCGCGTCAAGTGCGATTGGCGCAACTTTACGAGCTAACCCTGGTACATTATCAACAATTTTAGTAAACATTTTTCCGAAAAATCCTCCTACTATTTTTCTTCGATCTTCGATAAATTTTTTTCTGCTTCATATATCTGGGGTTGTATAATTTTGTTGTTTTTCGCCTACGCAACGCATAGGTGCACGTAATAAGTAACAATCTCATTATTCAAATCTATCTGTCTTCCACATTGATCCGTCAGATGCATGCTTATTTCATTTATTTGATTTTCAACATTTAGCGGATACTAAATAATATGACGCGGATTGATTTGCATAAGATAACCTGGTAGAACTTCTGGTGAGAAACTGTATATAGTTTGCCCTTTGCTGCCCTTAATAAAAATGAGATGCAATCGAACAATTTACTAATATTGTGTTTACGTCTGTTACTGGAAATTCACGGTCAGACGTTTTGGGATTTTCATCATCAGGATGATATATAGGAGATTTAAATCCAATCAGTGATGCAATACCTGGAAGTAAAGTAACAATAAGTCTATTTTTAGTGTTATTCTAGCACGCAATGTATTATAATTCGGTGCTAGTTAAAAATCATCTGCATTGCCACCATTTTTTGCTAAAAGTTTGTCATAATTGTTAAGTGGCTCGTACTTATCCTGTTGGGGATTAATTGTGTAAATATAAATGCGATCGTAGTTACAATTATCTCCGAGAAGTAAATTCATAAGCAAATTTGTTTTGCCAGATCCAGTTCTACCAACAATAAGATAATGACAATCTGGAAGATCATGGTTATGATTATGTTTCACCAACCGATCTGTATCAAAGTTTAATATAGACGCTTTTGCCATTATACAATTTTATGGTATATAATTTTGTCAAGTAGTAAATAAAGAGTTTTTATTCAAAATTTGGAACAACAATGGGAGATTCAGCGTCTCCTCAGCAAGTTGACTTATCTAAATACGAAACTCTTGAGCAGCTAAAAAATGAAATTACTAATTTATTAAATATAACAAGTGTTGATCAAAATGAAGTTGTTATTTTTCAAGATAAAGAAGGGCGATTAAAAGCGAGTAATATACAACTATCAGATGTATTTGTACGAATTCCCACCGCGGCTGTTAATAATATAGCTACTTTTGCCGACCAAGGCAAAATACAAGATTCTGGCAAATCCCTTAACGATTATGTTAAGAAAGCTGGCGATGTATTTACTGGTGACATAATAATGTCAGGAAAAAATTACATATCTTGGAAACCCAGCCGCAGAAACAGACGCAGCAACAAAAAATACGTCGACGATCAAGGATCCAAGCACGTGTCAGTGCGCGGTGGTATTATGCTTGCATTTCTAAATATGGATAATAATGGCATTAGTAATCTTAGAGTACCAGAAACAGATTTTGACGCTACAACTAAAGAATACGTCGACGATAAGGAAATTCCAATAACGACTTCGTTAACGACAATCAATAGTGGAATTAACGCATTTAGTACTGATAGTAATCACATACAAACGTTTCTAAATTTTCTTAGAAATTTGAACAGAACTATTAACGAATTTTTTGGAACTCCACCAACTATTATTATTAATCTCGCTGACATTAACGCAAGACTCAACTATATCATTAGTGGCATTCCTGGCATTGTTCAAAAAGCTAATCTCGTTAAAATTCCACACGGACTAGCTAACAATATCGTGTACACAGTTGCATCAGAAAAAGAAACATGGTAGCAGAAAAATAACACTCTTAAACATACCGCAGAGGTCACTGGTGTATATAGCTTATCTGTGTTTAGCGGTGTAAAATTCAGAATATTAACCACATAACTATGGCGTCATTAACTGATATTTTTTTTCTTCCGGAACTGTATCTATAGTATTAAACAAAGATGGTGAAGAAACGTTTATGCTGATGGCAGACGATAAAAAATTTACCACAGCAGATTGCTGGTGGTATATAGAATTCATAGCTGAAACTCCAAAATTAAGTTAATTATAAAAAGGCATAATATATATATATATATATATATATATATATATATATATATATATATATATATATATATATATATATATATATATATATATATATATATATATATATATATATATATATATATATATATATATAAAGAATACAAATCATATGGCGAATAACAACCCTCTCAAGCGTACTAGATCCACCAAGGGATCACGTTTGTCAGGGATTAATTAAAATAGATGCAATAAACTGACGACGAACAGTACGAAACTAGTAACTAACTAGCCTTGTTACAGAGTGCTTGCGATTCTTCCTTTTGCGGCGATTTTTCTTCTTACGGTTGTTTTTGGAAGAAATTTCGTCAATTGAAGTTTCTTCACAACAGTCCTTTGGTTGTAGTAGGCTAGTTGTAGTTGTAGGCTAGTTAGTTACTAGTTTCGTACTGTTCGTCGTCAGTTTATTGCATCTATATATATATATATATATATATATATATATATATATATATATATATATATATATATATATATATATATATATATATATATATATATATATATATATAAACAAATATTGTGTAATGAAAAAAATAGTCGGTATTTATCATATTTCAGAAAATATTTCCAAAGAAGATGTTGACACTCTAATGCAATATTACAGATACTATCATAAAAATCTTTGGTGCGTCAAAAAATGTTCCAAATACTATACCAAAATACTGCGAGTGATATCATATCTACCGCTACTAATGACCAGCTCTGGTATAATTTTAAGTGGCGCATTTTTAAATCCATTTTTATTAATAATATCTGGTGTCGGTGTTTCTCTTGCAGCAACGTAAAAAAAAAGTTGAACATCGACTCGAGACTTTAAAAAATGCTTGCAATACAGCAATGATTTCTTTAAAAAAAATACTTGATCTAATTCGATCTTACTTACGTGACATAAAATGATATGGACGACTTAATACGCGAGTTACGTACAATTGATATTATGTTAACAGATAATCTGCCAATGAGAGTTAGCAAATACGATAAAGATTATAATTAAAAAGTATATGTTTAATTTTGACGGCTTTAGAAAAATCATAATATATCAATCATATTGTTAATAAATGTCATTACATCATCTGCCCAGCCAGCATTTCTCATATCATTTTTAGTCGCGAAGAACCATAGTGACCCATATTTCGGCGATATATGATAACCCACTTTTTTAATACAATCGCTTATAATATTAGATTTTATACCAGTATATGCTGACGCTGCTTTGATCGAATTAAATCTTTTACAAAATCTATTTGTTAGATCCAATCCAACATGTCTGATATATTTCTTTTTTTTAATATAACATTTTGGAGAGATAACCCATCCGCTGCCATAAATGTTAACGTTTTTTTTGGGGGGACGGGGGTGTCTGTGAGACATCATCAACTACATATAACTACTGGTTCTGTCCTGTGCGTGTGCAGGTGGCTGATAAGGCCAATCATTGTACGGAAGGTTCCTTTGCAAAAAAGGACAATAGATATAATGTGACGTGATTCTGATTTTTACCGTAACTTTAACAATTTTTCAGTCATATCGCTATGATGTCTGCAGTGTGGCAGTTATTAGTTATGTCTAGCACTGGGGCATCATGCCACAGACATGTAGCATGATGTCCCTCCCAGTCACATTATCCTGACACCAGGCCGACCAGTCCTAACACTAACCTCTTAATGCTGAGCGCCAAGCGAGGCTGCTGTTAGTCCCATTTATGTAAGTCTTTGTATGACTCGACCGGGAATCGAACCCACGACCTCCCGCATCCAAAGCGCACGCTCTAACCACTAGGCCACCGGAGAGTTCAAGAACAAGGGATGAGTGAGACATCTCCAGGAGGATTGATGGCATGCGCTCTTCTGGCTTGCCTCTTCAGTTCCGCTGCTGATGTCCTGATAGATTTACACAACTTGAAGTAATTGTGCAAGGAGGAATTCCATGTGACTCGATCGCTGACGGTTTTCTCCCAGGAATCAGGGGTTATTTTGAAAGATTTCAATGAAGTTTTCAGATTGTGTTTGTAGCGTTTTTTTTCTGACCTCTGTGGGATCGCTCTCATTGTTGTAGCTCGCCAAAGAAGTCTCTTAGGCAGCCGGTGGTATGGCATGCGTACAACGTGTAGCTGAAGTTTCATCAGGATGGTGTGGATGCTAGGGAGATCAGCTTGGGTGAGAATCTCAGTGTCTGGATCTGGCAATGCGGAGGTTCACCTCGTCGTCAATAGTTACGTTCTGTGACAGTGTGCTGATAAGGTAGGTGAAGCTGTTCACTAAACTAAATTTTTGGTCGTTGACGATGTTGGGCTCAACATAGAGCTTCCAAGGGCCGGTTGATGGAAGACTTCAGTCTTCTTGGTACTGATGGTGAGACCAAAGTTTGTGTAGGAGCATGAAAACTTGTCAACACCGCGTTGCAGGTCAGCGTGTGAGCCAGCGTTGAGGGCGCAATCAGAAAATAGGAAATCCCTGATGGTGTCAGTCACACCCTTGATTTTGGCTTGAAAGCTAAAGGTGTTGAACAATTTTCCATCTGTACGGTACCTGATGCCGACTCCAATATCTGGATATACAAGGGCCAATAAACAAAATCATGATTACTGTGTATGGATAGCCAAGAGCCAATAAACAAAATCATGATTACTGTAATAGGATAACCAAGGGACAATACACAGAATCGTGATATCTGTGGATTGATAGCCAAGGGCCAATAAACAAAATTATGATTACTGTGGTCGGATAGTCAAGAGCCAATAAACAAAATCACGATTACTGTAATATGATAACCAAGGGCCAATACACAGAATAGTGATATCTGTGGATTGATAGCCAAGGGCCAATAAACAAAATTATGATTACTGTGGATGAATAACCAAGGGCCAATAAACAAAATCATGATTACTGTGGAAGGATATACAAAATCATGATTACTGTGGAGTGTGTGGTTTAGATTTTTAATGTGAATTTTAGCAATTTTTTCAGTCATATCGCTTTGATGTATGCATTGTGGCAGTTTATAGTGATGTCTAGAACTGAGGCATTATGTCGCAGACATAGCGCATGATGTCCCTCCCAGTCATATTATCCTGACAGCAGGCCGACCAGTCCTAACACCAACCTCTTAATTCTGAGCGCCAAGAGAGGCAGCTTTTAGTACCAATTTTGTATGTTTTTGGTATGACTCGGCCGGGAATCGAACCAACAACCTCCCGCATCCGAGGCGGACGCGATTACTGTGGAAGGATAGTCAAGGGCTAATAAACGAAAATCATGATTACTGTGGAAGGATAGCCAAAATTGTTTTATTCTCGAGTTTTCCAAATGAGATTCATTTACCGAGGCCACATAAAGCAGCAAACATAGACCAAACTCTGAAACGAATATATCAAAATCTAAAAGAAAAGCTACGCAGCGTGTCTTTGAAAATATAATCCAAAGCGTTACTTTCATGAGCACAATCTTGTCTACAAAACCTGAATTCCACGTACTTTTCTCGATGCCAATTACTGCAAAGGAATTTCCCACACGCGAAATCACACCATTTTCATTGCGTGTTTATCATAGTTGGCCTAACCTCCGGTTGACATCATTTGGAATCCTTGAAGCAAATAACTCGTTTGCAATTTCATCAAGCAGTGGCACCATCTGGGATGTTACTGACTTTCCACGTGTATGTACGCCTGTGAATCAATCAATATTTAGTTATTTATCGTATGCAACGCAATCATCAACAAGGTGTAGAACCAGCAGTCCGCCGGGTAACTTTTTCAGTGGACTGTTCACAATGTGTGACATGTTCTGTAGAGCTCCCCCAGCTTCAGGAAGAGTCAATAGCCTGGCCCCATCGGACGAGGCTGACTACACATCGACCCTAACCTGTCTGGAAATGGTTGAGCTTGGTCTTCAGATGTCGTGGAAGGTTGAAGCGAGGAGGACAGACAAATGGCTCAGCTACGAGGCAGTGGTTTACAGCATCCGTTAAGACCACTCATCAATCCATGCCGAAATAGCTGTCATATCCTTCATCAACGGACCTAACCAGATTGAATGTCTCGAAGCCAATAGGACTGCCGACTGTGAGGTGAATCAGTAGTTTTGTGGTTACTTCCTGGCAATGGAGGAATGTTGCCGAGTATCCACAGCCATGGTAAAGGAGTAAAACGTAATGTTCCAGAGATTATGTGCATTGTTGAGTTGGACGTCAGTTAGCTTGGTAAGGGACAATCGAGCCAGACAGGAGCGCAATACTCAGCTGTTGAATAACAGAGGAACAGTGCTGATGATTTGAGTGTTTGAGCACTAGCGCCCCATGTTGAGCCAGCCAGCTTGCGGAGTAGGTTCTTTCGAGTGATCATTTTATCTTCAGTTTTCTTCTGGTGGTTACAGGAAGACAGTGATTTGTTCAGAGTCACACCAATGTATGTTGGTGTCGGAACGTGTTCTACGTGCTGCCCATTGAGGAGAATGCAAAGCTCACTGTTTTAATTTGCATTGTTAGATTGGAAGGCGCTGAAGACTGTCTTTGTTGTGATTGGCTGTAGACGTCATTTATTGAAGAAGTCTGTCATTTCCTCCTTGTCTTTGTTCTCTACCTTCTCATACTCATTAAACTAGCGGCTTTGTGTCCCAAGAGCAATGTCCAATGCATACATGAACTTGCGCGACTCTGCTTCAGGCAATTCATTAATATAAACATTGAAGAGAGTAAGCGAAAGAACAGATACCCGTTTAAATCCTTTAATCTGACGTCTCCACCAACCAATGATGAGATCCGACGAAGTATTTCGCTGGCAACCAACAAACATTTTCATGCACGAACTCGAACACTCGCATCTGCCGCCTTGATCGACTAAATCTTCACAGTAAGCGATTGATTTCGGACAGTTGTCGCTAAAAAAAAAGTTATTGTTGGCCAGACGATATTAGATTCCCGAACGAATTTTACGAGCAGGACTCAATGGTACCAATTACAATATCGCGACAGAAATTGGCAGGATAACTTTCTTTTTTCAGTGTTTTTTGTACCGAGCTAGAGTCCCAAGTGAACGTGGAAGAAAAGAATTACAAGTGTATGACACATCTAGATATTTTCTCCTATTTGAATCCTTCTTGGAAATCGAAAGCGACAACTATAGAAAATCCGCTTATCCAACTAGGATTTTTTTTTAACAATGAGGAACACGATCACCAGGTACAGCATATATTGCAGAATATTTATCAACTTGTATATGTTTTTTTAGGACTTACAACCCTTTTGTATTCGTTGTCTAATTAACATTGTGGATGCTAGTAATAACCACTTCAGTGGTCACAAAAAAAAAGCGTTTTTAATTTTTACGGGACCTGGAAACGTGTCAATGCTGTCTTTTATCGCACTAACAAAATACTCGATACGAAACGCCATTCATCAGTTTTCTTGACAAATAGTTATCCGACAAGGTAGCAGCACACAAATACGTGTAGTGGCGTTTCAATATATAGATCAGGTTGGCGAGGAATAATCCCGAAATGTAATGATATTTGACCAATTAAAAATGTCTGGATTTCTCCACGATTAAAAGGTGCAAAGAAATTTGTGTCAATGTGGAAAACAATCAAGTCGCAACAACTGCATATTTATCAATTTGTAATTGTGGTCGTACATTGACCAGGAATAAAACTGATATAGGTCTGCATATATTATCAGAAAGAAACTACATTATAACCGGTTCGTTGCTTTAAAACTGGTTAAATAGTTCGTAGTCGACAAGCAATTTACTGCACGTGTTACTGGTATCCTCGCCGCCTGCTATATGACACATTGCCATAATCGTTTTCAATACGATTTTGTTGTTGTGGTGGCAGAATAAGGGTTATAAACGCACCAGCCGAAAACCTATGGTTATTATCTCAAACTAGTACTTGTCGTAGCTGCTTAGTACAATTGAAATAATGTCACAACACGAAGTTAAGGTTGGTCTTTGCGAAAACGAGCTTGCGAAAAATAGTACTAATATTAGTACCTTAGTCCTTTTAAGGCTACGTCATCGTAGCTAGCGAAAAAGTGCAGCAATAAACCACTGAGGGCTCGTACTGAGGCTTTCTCCAACAAAGTTAACTGGAAATGACCTCTTGTGACCCATACACAACCATGTTTATGAGCCAAACAAGGAACACATCGGTAACATTAAAGGGGGGATGGGGAGGAAATGCAACAGCGGTGGAATATTTCCATTTCTCTCTGTCCATCTCTGCAGTTTTAAAAGCACCTGGGATAGCTATAAGATAGGCGGTTGGTGGACGTAGGGTCTGATGGAGATTATCGAATTCGCCACCGCATAAATAAAGAAAGAGTTCTTCTACTATGGAATTGAAGTTGTATCGGAGGAGGTATTCGGTTTTGACCCCCCCCCCGTTGATGGCCACGAAAGCAAAACATCTCGAACGTCCATTGACAACTTTTGATTCCCTTGCAATGACAAAATCAGTCAAGCATTCCGAGATGATTTTATACAGAATGAACTTTCGTCTGTGATCCTCAGTCCATTGCAAACAGGAATCGTTAACCTCGATTTGTCAACAGAACCTAGAACTCTTTAGGTATTCGAGTTTTGATTACGTGATGACCTATGACCTTACCACTAGTCGACTGCTGTTTTATTCAACGTTGCTAATACAAACTTGATGAAGCTTTGCATGCACTTGCAATAAGCAAAGCTTCATCAAATCCGACTACGCACCACTTTGTATTATTTTTTTAAAACTACACTTAAAACATACGAAATGTCTGTTGATATACTTGATCTCAGCAATTTGATTCGGTGCTAACG